ATGTACTCTCTGTATATTTTTCTTTTATTCTTCAGCATATTGACAATTTCACCTGGCAGATAGTATAGGTAGGGCGTATTTATTATTTTTGGTGTGTGCGTAACGATTGATTTTGTGATTTCCTGTTGGAAGTCTGTGATGCTTTTCATGGTTAGGGGCGAGTACTGCATGGATCTAAGATAATTGTCCATGTCCTTGTTCACTTCTTTTATGTTGGTACGTTTTAGGTCGCATTTTATTTTTTGTTCATTTATGATAGGAAGTGTTGATGTGTCGACTTCGATGTTGAAAGAAATACCGAGATGATCCGAACACATGTCTCCAGTTGTAGCTATGTTGCTAATGACATCTTTTAGGTTGTCGGTGTGGATGATGATGTCTGGTGTGGTGTCATTGTTTCCCGTCATAATGACGTTGGGTGTGTGAGCCTTTTTATGAAATTTGGGTTGTCCAGAAATGATTAAAGTTGCCTTCTTTTTGTCGGGTTGAGATTAAAGTCGCCAATTATTATAGCGTATGAGTATTGTGACGCTTTTCGAAATACATTTGTTTCTAGTAGATAGTGAGGGTGGAAATATACTAGGAAAATATGTAGCTGTTCGTCATTAAAAGGGATGGAGCAGTGTAGGAGCATTCATTATAAGGATTGTTTAAGGAAGGGGGGGTTGCTTTCTTTAGTTTGTATTTTAGATTCGACATTATTATTGAACCTCCTCTGGCATTTGTTGTTTGGAAGCCTTGCCTTTGGATAGTATCCCAGTCTCTGTACTGAATAGTGTGGTCTGTCTTCATTTTGATTTCTGTCAGTAGGGCTAGGTCAATATCGTTTTATTGTATGTAATTAAAAATTAGATGTTTTTTGTTGTTAAAGCTGTTGACATTAGCGTATATTACTTTGATATGATTGTTTACGGTGTTACTGTATTCATCTTCTTGATATCTGCTTCGGTACCATTCTTCGGTATCATCTTCTTCGGTGGGTGATGTATCTGATAGTAGCTACAAGTAGCCAGGTTCAGTAGGTAAAACCTCTGATATTTCCATCATCGTTTGGTTGCCGTTGCGGGAGGAGGGTTTGTGTCCAGACGATCAAGCATCACAATATACGCACGGTTACCGGAAATATTTACGAAGGTGTGAATGTTAAAGTTTTCGGCGAAGCGCGCTCTGAGTTTCTCAATAAGTTCTTGTCTGTTAGAGTTGGAAGGTTTGTTGAGTTCATCGATGTATGTGTCGATAATGAAGTCGTGTGTGGTAATTGGGTTTGTGTATTCTAGAGTTTTGGGTTATTGAACTTTCCATTTCATTGCTTTTCTTGTTGACGGATTTAATTTTTATTGACGGGATTCCTTCTATTGGTTGTGTTGGTCGCTTTTTGCTTTTAAAGGACCACGCTTGGTGACCTTCTATCCCGCATGCTTTGTAGATTTTGGGTAATGTTGTGGGACATTTGTCTGTTCTGTGGTTTTCCTTGCATTTACCGCAGGTTATTGTTTCGTCGCAGTTTTGGGTTGTGTGGGAGAATGGTGAACATTTGGCACAAGCTATTGATGCTGGTGGAGGAGCGTCGCTTACTATTATTTTATAATGGGTGAACATGTAGTAAAGTCCTAAATGTTGTGGAAATATCATCAATTATTAATTACAGTATCCTCTTTTTAGAGTTGCTTCGTTAGTTAAATCAGCATCAAAAAAGTTCATTTTGTATCTTGGAACCAAATAAGTTGACATACCTTATTAGCTTTCTTATTAATTTCATTTTTATTCAAATATCGCAATAATGTGGCAATGTAGGGTATTACTTCAGAAATGCACCAGAAATTATAACCATAATGGCCGGATAGATATGCCGAATAACCGGATATCCGCCTTTTCGCAAAATCACTATCCGTTCCATCACTAATTTAGAGTATAATATATATAATATTATACTCTAAAAATCTATATGCTATATATATATACAGTGTGTCCCAGGATAGATGTTAGAACAGGTATAATGACTTAAAAATTTTTAATTTTATTTATGGCTAAGGAATTAAGCCCTGCTTGGTGTGAAGAGAATTTTAAGAATATTTTCATGTTTTGAAAACAAAGGCGGCCTTGACAGTGAATGGAAAACTATTTTTAGTTTAGGTAAAGTAATTTTCTTGTTCATGATACGGAAAAATTGTATTAAGAAAAGTTGTTCAAAATGAAAAATTATGGTGTTATACAAAATTTCAGAAGAATCTATGTACTTTGGTTGAACCATCACATTTTAGTTTAAATAACATGAATATTGTATAGTAATTGAAATGTGAACTAAAACTGAGGGATAATACAATTTATTTGTCAATATTTGCGACTACTGAAGTAATTTTTTTTTTCATGCCATTTTTTTTTTGATACTAAAAGTTGGCCAAAACTCAAATTTACTAATTACAGAAAAGAACAATTCTAATGAGTTTTGGGAATAGTATTATAGATAGCGTATCAAACGGCAGCCATTTTGAAATGGTGGTTAAAGTCAAGGACAGTAGAATCTAAAAGGACTGCTACATCCATTGTATTTTTCTAGCCCACTACGGATTGGTTGCCCGCACTCTACGTCACACTATTTGCCACGCCCTGTTAACTGTCAATGAGTTTTCTGCGTTTGCTGTGTGTTTTTAGGTTATATGATAGACGTCTATATAGATTAATACGTCTAAAAAAATAAAACTTCAAAAATAATATGAATACGTCTACGATATAACCTCTAAAAATACACAGCAAACGCATAGAGCTGGGCGTGGCAAATGGTGTGACGTAGTTTGCGGGCACGTTGTCACAACAATGAATGTAGCAGTCCTGTTAGATTCTATCGTCCTTGGGTTAAAGTAGTTCATTTATAGCGTTAGTCTTCCTAAAAGTCAGTGATACTTTTGTTGAAAACATTTACGAGAAGATATAAATCCATAGCAGTTTGCAGCACAAATGAAGTTGAGAACCGCTGGCATTTAAGCTACTTCCAACATTTTAAAAGATATTACGAAATCGCCAATGAGGGCAAGCAAATTCCGCAAATGCCTTACTAAAGCACATCATATATCACAACTGTCACCTATGGAAGCGTTATCTATGTTTGTGGAGGCAAATTTAATGAGGAGACAATACAATATTGTGAGAAAAGTTTACAAAGAGCGTTTTCCGTGTTACTCACTATTAGAAAACTCAAAACAGCAGTGCTATCCAAAACCTGAGGCATTTCGTGTAACATCCACATGTGCTGAGGTAAAATTGCAAGATATTCTGGACCACACTTGTTCTCGTTTATGCCAGTATCTGGACGAAGTTTTTGAAGGATGCAGTAAAGAAGAACGATGTAATTTCGAACTGATTTACAAATGGGACTGTGATGAATCACAACAGACTCTGATGCAAATATCTTCCAAAGCTCCTGTGTTTCACTTAGATTAATAACTAAAGAGGGCAAAATATTGTGACAAAATCTAGTGTATAAGTACGAAGGCTTTCACGGCCGGTGTGAATTAAACTAAAATTAGAACTAAAACTAGAACTAACACTAGAACAACTTTCTAGTGTTAGTTCTAGTGATAGTTCTAGTTTTAGTTCTAATTTTAGTTCAAAAAATCTAGTGTCATCTTTCCCCCGATATTGTAGACCCATAAGAATCAGGTTTATTCATGAAATGAAGCATATTGCCAAAGATCAAATCATACACGTAGAATATCATGTAAATTAACTTCAAAAAAGTAAAGTACCTTTCAAAAGAAGGCCTGGTCTTGAAATTGAACACAAACTATTATTTACTATGATCGATGGAAAAATATGCAATGTCACAACTAACACAGCTTCTACAATGCCGTGCTACTTGTGTGGGTTGACTTCAAAAAGCTTAACGACATATCAAAGAAGAAAGATGTGAACCCAGAATCACTATCATTGGAAATATCCGTCCTTCATGCGAAAATTATAGGTTATATATATATATATATATATATATATTTAGTTATTTGAATCATACCTTCACTTGTCATACAAGCTTCCAATTGGAAAGTGACAAGCAAGATATGGAGAAGATAAAAAGACTAACCGAGACAAAAAAAAACTAATTCAAGCGAAATTCAGACAGGAGATCGACATGCGAAATGACTGGAGTTAACGAAACCTTGTAGTGGGCATGAGATTGATGTCACTAAATTTGAAACATATGTATACGAAACAACTCAGTTGTATATTACTTTATACAGCTGGCATCCGATGACACCAACCATGCACAAAATTTTAGTGCTGAAATTATTTCACATGCTTTGTTGCCGATTGGGCAACTATCAGAGGAGGCTGCTGGAACCAGAAACAAAAACTTTCGTACATAGCAAGGATTCGCAAGAAAAGCTTCCCGAGAGGCGTATAATAGAGATGTTATACATAGATTACTGTTGAGCTCTGACCCTCTTATTGCAAGTATACGCCCATTGGCAATCTTCTTCTTCCATCAACAGCTGCAATAACTTCTACCCAAGAAAGTCAAAAAATGTTCAGAAAGACGACCAAATGAGGAGAGTTCGTGTGACGAATCAGAATAATTCACTAACATACGAATAAAAAAAAAGTTTTGAACAACTTTTGGTATCAAATACCCCTATGTGCGCTGATCTAATCTAAAATATGGTGGTTTAATCAATGTAGGTAGATCTGTCTGAAATTTTGCATAGTATCATAATTTCTCATTCTGAACAACTTTTCTTAATGATATTTTGCCGTATCATGAAGAAAAAGCTTATTTTACCTGAACTAGAAATAGTTTTCGCTTCACTATCAAGGCCAAGTTGATTTTCAAAACATGAAAATATACTTAAAATTCTCTCCACACCAATCAGGGCTTAATTCCTCAGCTTTAAAATAAAATTCAAAAATTTTTAAGTCGTTATACCTCTTGTAACGTCTATCCTGGGACACACTATATAATACAAATATATATCATGGTTAAAATCGGTTAGAGTTAATTTAAAAATTACCTCTAGCATACATACTAGCATCTCTTAGATAGTTGTCGTAAGATTCGTCATCGTTTCCGTCTAATTCTCTTACGAAAGTTAATAATCCTTCTTTTTTTAAACCATATTCCAAATTTTTACCTTTAAAAAATTCATACAAACTTTTATTGGGGGAAATTACAAAAAAAAATAAGTGTATAACGAAAAATGTAATCGACGAGGATGGGATTCGAACCCACGCGGGCAGAGCCCATTGGATTAGCAGTCCAACGCCTTAACCACTCGGCCACCTCGTCTGCGTGGGTCAATTTCAGACATACGGTAATGATTTCAAGGTCATTCAATCATACAATTTTGTATCAGAACTCAATTAATTGATGAAAATCTATTAAGTACTTAAGATTATTTGCCACAAGTATCGTCAGAATATTTTTGTTAATTAATTATTAAAAATTATCATATCCAAAGAAAAGTAAGTTAAAAATATTTGTAAAGTAAAGGAAGCTAAAACTATGAACAAAATGTTCTTACAGTTGGTGGTGAGGAAAAGCTTATTACTCGAATTTCTCCAGACTCACAAGATATTCATTATTACGTATGCTCATCTTGCTCTTGTTATGCGAAACAAAGAGATTGACCTAATAGATATGTAGTCCAACTCTGATAAATATTTTAAATTTATTTTAGTATATCAACACCATCTTACTAACTTTGTAGATCTACGGCCCCTTTATACCAAACAGGCTGACAAGATCTTATTAATCAATTTACAAAGTCACTCTATCTGGAGTACCTAGTTTGCTATATTCTGGTAATGAGATGGAATTTGCCTTCTTCTTCCTCTATCTCAAGACCATTGGGTCTGTTGTTCCTGATAAGGTGTGCCCCTGAAATATCTACTGAGAAATTAACTGCTAGGTGTCTTTTCATGTACAGCGGAAAATCTAAGCAAGAAAGACCCCAATTTGAAATCCAAAGAATAAAGAATCCAAAATTTAACGAAAAATTGGCAGGTCAAGGAACAATAGATAGGTTTCAGACTAAAGATAAGGTAATAATTAGGGCCAAATAACTCATAGTTTTTACAGAAAGAAGAACACAAATACGCCTTTAACAACATTAGAGGCCAGAGATCAATGGTGGACATAATTACAATTCGAGCAACACTTTAACCACAAATACTTTAGGTAAGAGCATTCACATCCGGCAATAACGGATCATATCCTTGTTCTATACAAGAATTAATTTGAACGACTCTAATTATTCAAAAAGCTCCCAAATTCATCGGAAAATATAACCTAAAATTATTAATATCCGAAAGCACAATCCTAAGAAAGAATCGAACGTAGGGATAACTTGGCAAAGCATTTAAAAGTGTAACCAGGAGGCAGAAGAGGTAACCATCAGTAAGAGTAAAGTTAAAATCAACGCAACTAAAACACCAAACAATGGCTTTGCGAAGAGGTTAGGAATCTGTCAGGACTAAAGAAAAAGTGCTATTTATCCTATAAAAAAGCACACCCACAACTGAAACCTTAACTTAATAAATTCGTATAAGAAACGAAGTAAACGTCAGAATAAAAATTAAAAGGTGAGAATATTGGAGTAAATTCATTAGCGATATGAATTATGACCTGTATGGAGCTCAAAGAAAGGTGTGAAAAATGCCCCCCCCCCCATTATAAATACAATTCAACAACTTTCGTTTTTTTCATAACCCCCCCAAAACTTTTTTCTGGATCCACTCCTGACGACGAGTATCTACACACAAATGTTTTGTTAAAGGATGATTGGAAAAAAAATTGTTAATCACTATATCGAAGAGACAACACAAGTTAGTGAACTTGTAAACACAAGAACTATTATAAAGATAGAAGTCAAAGAAAACGTTGAAAAACTGAAAAACATGAAAAATGATGAATTGCTCAAATATGGAGGAATAAACCTAACAGAAAAGCTGACCTAGTTACTTAACAGAACGCTGTATCGGCATATTCAAAAACTCTTCTAAATACATTAATTAAGTTGTTTACAAGTGTAATAACAAATAAGCTGAAAAATCTTATTTCAAATTCTGAAGAAAACAGGGTTAGTTTAAGAAATAGAGGTAGATGAGGTCGCTCAATATCGAACGCTACTAAACCTGCTGACACAAAGAGGTGCGCCAGCTTACTTCACAAATAAAGTAAAGTAAATTCTGTTATAGTAGATCTTTGTTCTATGTGAAGTGATATCAAAGTTGACCATGGCAAACCTGGGCATAGACGGTCACAACGGTCCATAAAGCGTGCAAATCAAGATATTCAAAATATGATCATAAATTGGATGGAAACCAATAAAAGGAGGCACTAGTCCGAATCTCTGCGATTAATTCAAGCGATGAAAAAGAAAGCTATTTGGATGTCTAATCAAGATGTCCCTACCTAGTTCAAAACTACCATCCAATATACTCAAGAAGTTCGAATATGAAGAAGATCAGGAGCGCTTATCACTTAACAGTGATGACCAGAAAATGACATCTCCAGTTCACAATTCTCAATTTTATCCTAAACAGTTAGTTTCTACCTTTATTTCTGTCTTCGAAGAAAATAGTTGCGAAGTTTTACAGCAACCTCAACTATTTTGGGCTAAAATGCTTCTTAAACATCGAATATTAACTATGAAAGATATCGTGTACTACGTAAACGCTGTAATCATAGATGTAAAAATGCGAAAAAAGCATATTTTTACTAGAAACTGACTGCAACTACTCCTAAGACGTTCTGGAAAACTTTAAGGTCTCTTGGTGTCATTGATTCCGCTCCTACACAAGCTGTTGTGGACGGAAATTCTTTAGCGAGACATTTCGCTAAACCACCAGTAACTTTTAATACTGCTTCCAAAATCACCTTAATTCAAGCTATTGAGGTATCTATCTTATTTCTTCTAGTTTTTCGCTCACTATGACTGATGGGGACGAAGTGTGCAAGGCAGTTACTTATTCTAGTTCTAACAGCGCCTGTACAGACGGTATTAGCTTGAAACAGATTTTACCGATTCTTCATATTATTATGTCTCCGTTAACTCATATCTATAACTTTTCCATTGAAACATCATCCTTTCCGTCCATGTGGAAGCTTGCGCATGTTGTGCCTATTCCTAAGTTAAAAACTCCAGTTTGTGACCCCTTGTGACTTTCGTCCTATATCAATTCTCTCTATCTTGTCAAAGGTTTTTGAGCGTATTGCGTATAATCAAGTATTTAATTATCTTGAGGAGCGTCGTATAATCAATGATTTGCAGTCTGATATCCGGCCACGTCACAGTACTACAACTGCACTGATCAAGATTACTGATGATATAAGATACGCTTGTGACAACCGACGTTTGATCTTGCTAGTACTGTTTGATTTCAGTAAAGTCTTTGATTCACTCGATCATGATATTCTCCTTGCAACTCTCTCATCTATCGGGTTTTCTCCTACTTCTTTGTTATGGTTCTGATCCTACCTTTCCCATCGCCTCTTACGTCCACTCACGAACTTCTTTGTGGAGTGCCCAAGTGTTTTGGGTCCCCTGCTTTTCTCTATTTTTATCAATAGTGTCACAAAAGTAATTTCTTCTAGTTATCATTTATATGGAGATGACCTCCAGATTTACACCAGTACAACCGTTAGTGAATTCCCTTTGGCTGTGGAGCGTCTAAATCGTGACCTTGTTAAAGTGCATGACTGGTCTAAGCTTTTTGGGTTAAAGCTAAATGCTACTAAAATTCAAGCAATTGTGTTTGGTACAAATTCTCTTTTAAATAGATTACCCGCTTTTACTAATTCACAACTTATCCTCGATGGCGTCGTCATAGAATTTTCGGATGTGGTGAAAAATCTGGGTGTTATGGTGGATTCAACACTATCCTGGCGTCCCCAAATTCAACTTATCCGCAAAAAAGTGTATTCTTATTTTCATTCCCTACTATGCAAGAAAATGGCTTCCAGTAAAAAGCTCTTCATGATTTGTAATCGCCCAAACCGTTAAAATGAAAATTCCTGATATTGACCATTCCAAAACAAACCCACAGACACTATTAGCTATTGCTTTAGATATTCAAGAAGAAGAATTTGGCTTGATGCAATAGCAGCACAACTTTCCTACAAATTAACATATTATATGTAACCAAAAACTTTATCTCATCGCCAGATGTACCAAGCTGTGAAATAGAGTTTCTTTTTGGAGGGTAAGATTATCAAAAATGTAATTGTTCGAGGAAATACACAACCAAGAAGTGATTGCAACTCAAAATAGCACGATAGCTTGTACGAATACATAAGGGATAGTTACAGTTTAAAATTATAATTTAAATATTTAATCTTCTCTGTTAAGGGTTTGCAATAGTTGTCACCTTGACATATAATGTTACCTATAAAGGTACATCTCCACTATACCGATTGATAATGTAGATCGGCAAAGCCTCACAGCATACTGCTCTGTACTGGACTCTCGTCGGGTTTTAATAACAAAAGGCAAGTTGAAGCAAGGATTTTTATAAAAGAGTTTAACATAGAAGGAACAGAGACAAAGGTCATTTACCTAATCGTCATTTTCACTGCTAGAGAGATAAAGAAGAACAGAAAGAACTTATCATGTCAAAAATAATATTTTACAGAACTCACAATCTCGGTCTTCGTGGAAAGAAATCTTAATCAGAAAATTTTGTAGACTTAGACTTTGAAGTACACACAGATGATCATGTGTTGCAAGATGACTTTCAATTTTATTACGGTAATGCTAAGCATATTTCAAATCATATCCAAAATGAACTAGTAATTAACATCTGCGTCCACATCCTAAGTAAATAAATTAGAAAAGCTCGACGTTGAAACGATTGGATATGAACAAATTCGTGGATCATGGGTTTATAAGAATAGCTGGAAAAGAATTGTTTGAGTATCGTTATTAAGAACGATAACTCATCAGATTTGACAGACTTGTAATCAAATCTCTTTATTGTCATGGTCATACCAAAGTATAATTCTCAAATGGAGCTCCTCGCTGTGTTAGCATAGGTTTTTGTAACCTTAAGAAGCACAAAGGAATCATTGAAGCAATTTTAAAAATATGTAGATATTAATAATTCTTTCACAGCGTAATACTCTTTCGATTTCATCCCTAAGAAGGGAGTAAAGAATTTTATTATTGTTGAATATGTAGATGCTTTACTGGGAAATAGGGTGCTCTTCTCGGGTGCTCGAGCTTTTTATGTAAACATTTTAATATTGCGAAACAGCACATATATGTATAAAGAGACCCAGAACTCGCAAAATCCATTTCTAAAGTTCAGTAACATGGATAACAAATTTGACTACGTATAGTAGACTGAAAATGATGATGTTTCGTGTAAGAAATAAATGAAAATGTAAAATTACTTCATTAATACTGAAAGTCTGTGAGTATGAAGTAAAAAAGATATATACATAAAATTTAATCCGTTTAGGAGCTTTCGGGTTTTTCTAAATTAATATTACTAATGGATCCCAACTCGTTGTACCAAAGTTGTAACTCAAATTCCCTTAACATCGTTACCAGACCATATTCGTTTACATTTACAAAGTTTATAGAATTTATTACTTCGAGTTAGTAATAAATTAATAACTTTACTTGTTCCCTTTTCAAATACTACTACAGTAAAGTTACTCATTTCTAATTTTCATCACTCCAAAAATTAGAAATAAATAAAGATTAAGTTAATCAATTGAGTTCTGAAACATTTGTATTATTTATTTGATCGAATAATCACTCACCAACTGTAAGTGAAAATAAATCCGATCGATCCAATAAAAGAGCTACGTGCTTCCACCCGAATTGCTTGAATATACTCGCAAACACCAACTTCAATCGACATTGGCAATAGGACATCCTCGTGAGCGTTTGATATTTGCTCTTGTCCTTGAAAATTCCCTGTAACTAACATCTCAAGGGTCACATCATAACATACGCATACACTCATGCTATGTATGTATATAGGATACGTGCGACGAACCGTTCAATTTGTTTTTATAATGTATAGGTGGTACGCACGTGTGTGTATACTTTGGTGCTCAATTAGATGGCTATTCAACACCGGAGGGCGAATAGGACTGTAATTGCCGGCTTTGCGGTCGTTCGCGAATACCCCTGCCTGTACCACACATGAATATTTAAGTGGAATTAACGGTTGCATAGTTAAGGACGGTACGGTCTGGGATTCAATATTTCATTAGTTGAAGAACAATTTTGTATACATAGGGTTTAATTGGATTTTGTCTAGTTGAGATGTTGATAAAAATAACAAAAAAAGTTATAATTTGAGAGTCAATGGTAAGGGATAGTTAATATTAATTAGTTCAGTTTATGAATTAATCGAATAAGATGAATTTATGAATCATTTTGAGTTGGATTTGCAAAAAATATGTATGTCAGAAGTGGGATTCGAACCCACGCCCTCAGAGAGGACCAGAACGCTCGAAACCCGTATGAAAACAGGCAAGGTTAACCTTGAGTCTGGCGCCTTAGACCGCTCGGCCATCCTGACTACGTGATATTAACTTGGTGTGATTCAGTCACCAAATTTTACAGCATTAGATAATAAAGTTTATCAAGTCATTTAAAACCTTCCATCCAGGGAAAGAATTCTAGTACAACTAATTTTTAATGTTCTAAAAATCTTCTGAAATGTACTCAAATTTATATGCTGCCATTATCGTTGGCTTTAACTTTTAATATACCTCTTATTTAATATCCTTTTTCAAATAATTATTATACATTTTTAACTTATAAATAAAATTATTATGGTATAATAATAAAACCTAAAGTGTATCAAAACTTAATAACAGAAGACAATGTATTATCTATTATCTATCATACCTTCGCCACATCATAAAAAAATATACGCGATATTGATTTCTTGTTTTCGTATATTACTCAAATCCACATTGTTTTATGATTATCCCAAACAATCATTTTATCTTTTCGTTATAGGTACGTAAAGAAATATTTTGTCCTTTAAAAGTTAATTTAAACCGTAAACAACAATAATAGAAACTTATTATCTCCACCGTAACATACAGAAATACACCTGGATACAAACGTTAAAGAATCTAAAGTCCATAATAGATTACACAATAACTAGAGAAAAAACAAATCTAAATTTATAGGACGTGAGACGTGTATAGGGAAGTAAATCGCGGCTGCGACCCGAAAAAGGGACAAACACGGAAAACAAGGACGAGAGCACAAAGAAAAGATTCAACTTTTGCAGCTTGATTGATGAAAGCCCTTTTTCCTATAACCAAAAGCTATATAAAGCTGGATTAGATAATAAACTAGAAAATAAGCATTATAAAAATAACTAAGAATACTACCATTTCATAAAGATGTGTCACCAAAAATGGTGTGGGCTATAAGGAAAACCGACAAATTAGTGTACCATATTGATGTAAAGAAGAAATAGAAGATACAATAAGAGACAAGTGAGAAAAAGACAAAATATCAAAATCAAATATGTGCAAGCTACTATACAAACACGCACAGATGAAGGTCCATAAAGAATTAAAAAAGAGAAAAATGAAACATGGGAGAAGTACGTGCAGTGGAATAAGGGAGCTGCGGAATTCAGAAATTCCTAAGACAGAGCAAAACAAGAGACCTACTACTGCTAACAACACTCGAAAAATAGGTCGACTACTTTAAGCAGTACTAACAAAAGATAGACCAAACTTCTTGAAGGAACAAGAGAACGAAGAAAGTATACGTATAACGCCATCCCTAATCGGAGTCACTATAAAGGACATAACGTAAGCATGTACATTCTTGAAAAATGTGAATGTATCGGGAGACGGTAACATGTAAGCAGAGCTTATAAAACATAGATTCCAAAATTATCTTAACGTTAAATTATTTCCACCACCAGCCAATTCAACCATTCATAAAAAGGGACACAGAGAAAACTGCGACAGCTGCAGAGCTATAACAGTGACGGGCACGCTATATAAAGTATATGGCAAGACCCTTACTAAAAAAACGCCTAGAGTATAGAAATATGGAAGCAGAGGAACAGGCAGGATTCCAGGCTGGAAAATCAACAACACACTGTTAACTATTTAAACTCACTCCTCTGAATGGTTAAATAATATCTTTATTATAATACTTTCCAACGAATACACTTTTACAACGGTTTTAAAACGGTTTTATATGCCAGTTTTTATACAGGGTGTCTCAGCGAGACCGGTCATTAGACGTTTCTGGGGTTCTGGCCAAAATAAAAATTTGAGAATTCAGATTTAAGTATTATCAATTGCGTTCTATTCGACTAAAATATTTTCAGAATTCTAGCACTTCCGGTTATACCGGAAGTCGCCAGCTACTTTATTTTTTTTAATGGAACACCCTGTATATTTTTACATATTTCGATTTGTCTGTTCTCAAGACTTATGAATAACTTTATTTTTTGCAATTTGATTCAGCCGTTCTCGAGTTATTCGAATTTTTCTAGAAAAATCTGCTCCAGAAGACATTTGTTCAAAATATCAGAGAACACTCGATTTTTGAGATATCAATTTAGGATTCAGAACATGCTTAAGTAACATGATGGAGTATGTTTTGGTGCCGAGAACGGCTGTCTAGATCGTTTGGTCACCTTACCATGGCACGTTAACTTTTCGACATTTTGAAGTACCATAACTTCATTTTTTTAAATGGCACCCCCCATATTTTATTACTTAGTCGTCTTCGACGTCTCATTTTACTTCTTTTATACTCCATATGTCTTATGCCTAACATTAATAGTTTGAGAAATAATTAGGGTTTTTTGAAAAATGCTCACATATCATATCGATATTAACCTAGTGTGCCATGGAAAACAAATGATTAATGACTTATTGACAAACGTCAATGTCTGATTTACGTTGTTTGATGCTTGTGAATCTAAATCCAGTTAAAATGGATATTAATAACGTAAATAATGTTTATACAAATGAAGAAATCCTTAATTTATGTTTTATGCACGGAAAGTGCGACAAAGTTCTTAGTAGAACTTACAGAATGTTTAATGAATGCTATCCACATTTAGCTCCGATGACGTAAGGTAAATTTAGAAGAATAGAAGCAAATTTTTTGCATTTTGGACGAATTAATCATGTGTTAAACTGACCACAAAATGTAGTAGATAATGCAGCGTAAAAGGTGAATACCATGGCTTATTTCTAGCCCAGTCCCAACGCCTCAATTCGAGCTGCCAAAGAAGATCAGGGACTCATACTACGAACTTTGTCGCGCTTTTCATGTATAAAAAATAAATTAAGAATTTCTTGATTTTAATTCTTTTTAATACTAATATTAAGGGACCTAACAGATAATTATTAGCTCACATTCATCAAGTGACGTAAACAAGTGAGTCTTTGACAAAAACTCATTGAGAAGGCTTGTTTTCCATGGCACAATAGGCTAAATATTCATATGATATGGTGCATTTTTCAAAAAACCCTAATTATCTCCCAAACTATTAATGTTAGGTATGAATATAGGATATAAAAGATGTAGAATGATACACCGAAGAGGACTAGGTAATAAAATATGGGGGGTGCCATTTAAAAAAATGGTACTTTAAAGTTATGGTACTTCCAAGTTTCGAAAAGTTAACGTGCCATAGTAAAGTGACCAAACGTTCTAGACAGCCGTTCGCGGCACCAAAACATACTCCATCATGTTGCTTAAGCATGTTCTGAATCCTAAATTGATATCCCAAAAATCGAGTGTTCTCTGATTTTTTGAACAAATGTCTGCCGGAGCAGATTTTTCTAGAAAAATTCGAATAACTCGAGAACGGCCGAATCAAATTGAAAATGTGTTCCATTAAAAAAAAAAAAGTAGGTGGCTACTTCCGGTATAACCGGAAGTGCTAGAAACCTGAAAATATTTTAGTCGAATAGAACGCAATTGATAATACTTAAGTATGAATTTTCAAATTTATATGTTGGCCAGAACCCGAGAAACGTGTAATGACCGGTCTCGCTGAGACACCTGTATATACACACCACAAGAACCTCCCCACGCCATCTATCGCACAAAAGCCACACCACGCACAATAAAAGAACGCTAACACTCGGCCATCCTGATGTAATCGCGCACCCGCGCGATGTTATAGGAATCTTTGATAACAAACATTCAACACAACCTTGAATATGACGTTTCACGTATGATCTCATGCCTCCAAACCAAGAATACTTTTGAAGGCTCGCCATCGTTCTATCCACTCCGAAATGTCCTTGTCCGTCAAGGTGTTGCACCACAATACTTTTCCGAACACTTATCGGTACAACGTAGAGTTTTCTCTCTATTTTTCCCACCTTCACGTTTCGTACTAATCTGGACTCATCAATCTCATACAACTTTACTGCCTCTTCTTCTTGTCGTGTACGTTTAGGCTTTCTAAGAAGTTCAATTATTCTTTTCAGCTTCGGATCACTGTATTGTATCAATAAAACATAATCTTCTCGACTCAAAACGTTAAGTACGTCCAGTCTATCATAAATATCTATCAGAGTTTCTGATGCTTTTTCAACCGGCGCCCTTGAAAGTGCGTCCACATCTGACATTCTTTCACCAGGTCGATATTTGAGCTCAAGGTCGTACTCCTGAAGCAACCCAAACCAACGGGCAATTTGTGGATCTTGACTCTTTTTCACGTTAAGGTATACAATAGCTTGGCAAGCGGTAAACACCTATCAATAAGTTACGCAACCTATCCACACAAACCACCACCGCCATTAACTCTAATTGGTAATATAAGTACGAAGGCTTTCACGGCCGGTGTGAATTGAACTAAAATTAGAACTAAAACTAGAACTATCACTAGAACTAACACTAGAAACTTTCGGGTTTTGCCGTGCGTCTTTTAAGAAAAGGTTTGACGTTTCGGATGGAAGGAA